GACAGGTCACACATGATCTTTTTTTAAGAAATCCGTGTTGTGATGGATTGATAAGTTCATGTTCTAGTAAGTTGTCTGACACTTGGTCTTTGACCGCTTTCTCCATTATTCTGGATATTACATAGCTTCTAGAGTTTTTTTTCAATTTTTCAAAGTTTATGTAATAAAACAGTGTTCAATCTAAAATTGTGCTTGTCAAATATGATCATGTCTGTACAAACGGTACGTCAATCATGTAGGTTCTTCATTCATGTGAGTTAAATAATATAATGGATTGTAGTCACATAGTAGCCGCACGTTTGGTACTTCCTGGAGATCAGCGCGACTCACTGAACTATGTTTTGGGAGCGGCGTTGCTCTTTGTAGCATCTAGTTATGTGCTATCCGTCATTAGGTTAACAGGTTACTGTGTTCGTGACTTTTTATAGGATCAACCATACCCAATTATCCAATGAGTTAATGTTTGTACAAACGGAACTAGTTATACACTTTTGTGTGTTTCACAACAAAAACAGATTATATACAACAAAACACGCTAAACTTTAACGCAAACACTGAACGAACAACGTGTATTAGAATGGATTAAATCATCCCTCGACAATGGGTCCGAAATATTTAGGCTTGAGTCTGTGACTTCCAAGCCTAGATCAATCACTTCTGGTTTATTTTCCGACAGCGTTTTAGTCCCCCTCCTACTTATGCGGCATACCAACGACATATGCACTCTCTTATCAAGCGGAAATTAATTCATTTTTGCGGACGGCCCTGAGTAACCTGTGCATTTCATTCAGATGACCTAGGGTACTTTCAGAAACTTGCCTAGAATGAACTTGATATAGGGACCTCCTAGTCTTTCTTATGGAACCCAAGATTCAGCCCGAACAAACATGGTTGGATATGCCTCGGCGAGCCTGTACTGATTTTAAATTAGTGCCTCACTGTGGCTATCTACCTAAATTCCAAAGTGTTGTCGAACGAGAATTCAGTCACTCTAGTAACCTACCGTTTTCTGAACTTGATTTTACTGCTATTTTAGACCACAGAATTTCGTTGCAAGTCTGGATTCATGAGAACATTGGCCACAAATGTGCCGTGACAATTCGCTTCTATGTGCTCCAGTTGTTTTTTTGAACGTGCGGTGGGGCCCATTCCAGACGTCGTGAAATTGTCAGCTGACTTGACTGAAAGTTTCCTTCTTTTTAAATCTTAAAGACCATCAGAGACGCTTAAATATACAACTGTTCGCCATTAAGGCCTGAATGCAACCTTACTTCAGTGACTTACCCCTCTAGACGTGGTTCCTCAACAATCCCTTAACTTTCCTAAGCTTCACCTACTGTCCCAGTGCCGAATTCTCGTCCCTGTGTGACACGCTGAATTTCTGAGCCCAGAAGAAGCGCACCAGTCACCTACGGTAAAGAATCCAGGTAGTTATTGTCTAGTGAGAAACGCAAACGTGAGGCTGGCATTGCGAATGAGGAATCAACAGAACTTTAACCCCCTAATTTCGAGAGGTTCATCCCGTAAAGTTGCAATCTTAACGTTTGGAAAACGGTATTGGAGGATTTCTAACTCACCCTGCTGCTTCTGGCATGTCTTTTCATAAGGCCAGATGGACACACGACAAATCAAACAGATTTCATCTCAAATTGAAGGAGTTAGAGACGCCATCTAGTGGACTCAGGATTCGGAAAAACAGGTGAAGATACAAACTGCTGTTTACTGGAAAAGCCTTCTTGGTCTAACTAAATGCTTTCGCAGAAGCCAAGGAAACACTGAAATCCACATTTCACACTCAGAAATTGAAGCCACAATGGATACGTTCATAGCAGCCACCGTGAAAAATCAGAGGCGTTAGGCAACACAACCAATAAATTTTGAATAAAAAGGACACTTAAACCTTAGGAAACTGACGCACGAGGAGTCGTATTAACGTACGCTAGGCAAAACGAACTCTCAAGACAACAAATGGTTCTCTATAGAAACTTGGAAGCTGATGAGGAAAAGAAGGATGTTGAGGCTGTAGGGCCTCTACAACAGAGAAGGCTTTGGCTACTTAGATGTGGTAAGTGATCAGAGTATTTAGGACGATGAGACGAATAATTGAGTAGGAACTATATCTCATTTATGAGTTGTGAGGCCTTCTTCGTCTACTGAATTATGAATGCCGTTCCGAGTATCTGACCTGGTTTCATTTTTTGTCTTCCTCTGTGCCTTAGAAAAAGACTTTAAAGGCACGATTAGTCTTTCACAACAATATGAGCTGTCGGCCAGTAACTTTAGCGACTACTTTGATAGAGGAGTTGGTTTCTAAATGGCTAAAAATGAACTACGACCGACGGAAATGCTGAAGCGTGAAGCTGAGCAGTCTCTAAGGCAACATATAGAGAAGTGGAGTAGGGTATCAGGAAATGAAAAAGACACTTTCACGACACATTGCTGACTGAAGAGAACTAGCTGTAGGTAAGATAGACCATGGATCACTACATCATGTAAACAGGTCGCTGTCGAAAAAGATTCAAAGACAGGTGAAGCCGTGGAGGGAATCCAGTTACCGTCGAAGCGAACCCAGTTGCCGTCAAAGCGAATCAGGTGGAAAGCATATCTGGTCATTTCAGAGAAACAGTGAATCGGCCAACCCACGCAACCATCGGAAACCGAATTACCAGAGGTCACCAGCCCTCTGACACTAACATATTTCAAATTCCATAAAGTTACCGAAAGCCTGTAAGTCAGGATTCTAATAAGGAAACACCCGAAGTCACTGAAAATGGATCCAGAGAACCCAGTTGACACGCTCACGCTGATAAATCAGAAGTTTCGGAAGGTAAAGAATGTACCTGCGGATTTGGGGAAAGGCTATCGTGTGAGAATGCTAAAGAAGTGTTACTTGAGCGCATGTAGAGAATGGCGCAGAGGCGTTCTCACATTCGTCCCACATCGTGCCGTCCTGAAGCCCACTCACCAAATAACAGCAAGTGGCACCGTTCAGTCAACATGAATCCAAAGGGTCAATCACTAGTTCTTTTGTTCACAAAAGAAGTCAAGCGTTAGGAGTATAACGCACTAACACACTCAGAATGCTGCTTCAGAAGGCGTAGTTCGCACATGAACTAATCGATGTCTGCTGTGTTCATATATATATGTGTGATTTTCCAGAACAACACAGTACCTACAATCCTTAGCACCGCTCATCAAATACTGTAAAATCAACAGATAGCCATAGGTTGGAAAACGGAGCTTGTATTGGTACGAGAGGTCAGAGTATGCCGATAAGTGATGCAAGTTCAAGCGAACACTTATGACATCCCCCAAATACTTGATTAAGTTAATCAGTACTTGCCAAATACTGTGGCTTATTCAGCCTGTATTGTTCATCTACATGCGACCATCCGGGAACTAAATGAGGCAGTGTAACAGTAAAACTTGAAGCTCATAAGACCAGGGAATAGATGTAAGGAATAAATGGCTCACTGCACTGAACTAATTACTAAGGTGCAAGCCTATAATTGACGTAGTCTTGTGAATCATCCTGAAACGGCAACAAAGATTCCTCAGACAGAGACGGGCTAGATTCAGGAAACAAGCTATTGGCGAGCCAAGCTGGAACATTATATATTATCGTCATTCAACACAGAACAGAATAGCACCCCTTCCTACACCACAACTTTACCGTTTGTGGAAATGTCCCTGAGATCGTTGACAGCAAAGCAATTTTGAAACTGCCTTAACAACGTGAAGTACTGCAAGCCATGCGTATGATGATGCTTCATACCAAGAGATGTAGAGCAGAAAACTCAAAGAAGCCTTTGAAATGGAGGTAGGAGTTGCCCACAGTCACGGACTATATCCCTGAATGCGGTGAGCCGAATCATGCATCAGACTGTGGGGTGCGAAGAAAACAGCATATTTTGGTCTGATCCAAAGATCTTGGGGGCTGTGAATTTCTCAGATGATCCACCTAATCTCGCACAAACTAGGGGATTTAAGTGCGAAAACTAGAGAGTGAAAATAGAGAAAAAGGAGGTGGTTAGCATACCCAGCCGACAAAATCAATCATCTATTCTCATCAGAAGAAGGAATATAAAGAAGCCCAACTGTCTCACTTGTTTTCACAGGTGGAATCGATTCAATTATAGGTGACACAGAAAAGTATGTTGAAACTGGGCAGGACTGGGAAAGGGAGACATGCATTCGTTACAGTGAAAACAGAGTAGGGATCTAGCGCATTCACGATTAATGACAAGATTTGGATCTTCAGCACTCTTGTCAATTCAGTTCTTCCGTACAGTTCAGAGACCTCGTAAATTACCAAAATCATTTGCAACGGGCTGCAGGCATATATTTAAAGCTGCCTTCTCTCCATACTGAAGGTCAGATGGCCAACCAGAAAGGATAAGCACGAAATAACTCTGGAAGTTAAACCTTCAAAACTTGTGGCCAAATGAATACTCATAAGGAAACGGATGGACTAATCATACGCTAAGGGGATCACTGAGCAACAATAGGCGTAAGAAACTTGAATGGTACTCTGACGGCAAACGAGTTGGACGTATGAGGCTGACATGGAGTAGATCTTTTGAGAAGGAAATGAAGCCATTTAGGACATTATTAAACCTGCGCTACAAGACAAAAGAAAACAAGATAAGATAGCGATGTGCTGCTGAAGCCTAGTAACTAGAACTCAAGGAAAGACTAGTTATTATGACAAATATAATGATGGTCATACTATTGTCACTTATTTGTGAAGACGGACCGAATAATTCGAAATTCCTCCATAGGTGACGTGATCTCACGGAGACAGTAAGTTTCTTCCTAAATAGTTTATGCTTAAGTAAGGTAGTTGCACATGATCTACTCTGCCTTTAATTTGTAACCTAATGATAAAAATTTATCCTAATATCAATTTGTGAAAAAATTTTGATCCTTTTTTTAATTGTAATATCGGAATTTATGATAGGATCTAGTCATTTTTAATTTGAATCTTTGTTTTGTCATTTCAAAAACTTAATATTATTCTTAGCCGCTATTCTGACTTCCACCATAGTTTCCGTGAATGTGTGGAAATATGTTTACAACCAGTTTAATCCTGATTGTTTTATTTTCTCTTCATGAACCCTGTTCATCAAGAGACTTCCACTGGGCTAACGAAACATTTCTTAAAATTGTGGACAAAATGCAAGGTACACCTTTTAAATCAAAACTTAATTTTCACTGATATTTTTATGCAGAAGACGGATATTTTACTTCAAACCGTGTAAGGGACGCCTTGAAGTTCACCGATCCGTGGTTTTTCGTAAAAGATGACCCCTACGCAATGAGAGAACACAACATCGGATATGGGGCCAAAATGGGAGCTCCTACTACGGTAAGTTGAGTAGGTCATTCTGTCGTTTAAGTGTTAGCTCATATTATAGTTGTATCACGTCTGCAGCAGTTTTACCTGTTGCACTTTGGGCTTCAAACTATCCACCGAGTTTAGGCGTTTTTACAACATACTTGTTGGAAAAATTAGAATTAAAATTAGTATGTGGGGGGGAGAATAACCCACTTTGACTAATTGGTCGTCGACTGAACCTTATAACTAGTCTCATCTCATAGACATTCCCCTATCACACTCCTTACGTTAGTCTCAGAAATACAACTTGTACTCAAAGCCGGAGTTGCTAGAATCGTAAATATTAAAGATTAAAAATGGTTTCGGACGTAGAATTATCACATATAAATCAGCAGTAAAATTTTTCAAAAATTGAAAACAATCTTATTATTGCTGAGAGAAAATAAAAGGAAACAGCATGAGAATAGTATTATCAGCAGAAAGTTTTGAAATAATGATTTCGGAATCTTTAAAGTTTGTCAGAGTGTGCAGAAGTTGGTCCCTATTAGAGGATGTGGATTGACTAACAGAAGCCACGTTCCTGTATTGTTTGGCCGGAAAGGCGGGAGCTGAACAGTGGTGCTAGCTGGTCATACACGGATGAGCTTTGGTTTATGGTCAGTCACAATAAAAAAGATCTAAAACATCGTAAATATAACACATGAACAAATATAAAATTGAACGAACTCACCCGATTTGTTTGTGTGTTTACTAAAGAAGATGAGGTTCTTACTATATCTCACCAGTTTATACTAGCGCAAATTCTTATAAGCACAACTCCTACAGTATTTTTCCTGCGTAAACCAAAAGTAAATCATAACGCCAAACTAACTGTTCAAAACACGAAGTATATTTCGAGGTTAAACTCTTAGTGCAAGGAAAGTTGCTTAACTAGCTGGGATACATGCATGGACGAACAAATGTAATACGATGGCTTGCCAAATGGCATGGATGCCTGGCCTCCAGCTTTCAGTTAAACGAGTCAACTTAAACAGTAAAGGTTAGCATCCATTGTTGAATGATGAATTCTATAGGCTTATAATTTTGGGGAATTATTTACTACTCCACCCTCAAAACTCAGGAATCATCAGTAAATTATACACATCTCGACATTTTCTAGTTACTGTCAGTGAACATTTCATCATCCTTGGTTAACAACAAGTACGGAACTATCCAAGGTATTCTCTGACAAGGACGGAAATGTATGAAGCAACTAAGTCAAAATGTAATGCTTATATGCAATATATTCCCTGTGTAGCAATTCTCACCAGGCAAATAAATTCACTGAACAAAAGGAAACCTGGAATTCGTTGTCAACAGGAGCAGCGGTACTGACTGGCAACGATAAGCAAAACGAAATTACGGTGAACAATAAGCTGATATGACGGTTAATTATTCACTCAACCAACATTTCGTAACCCGTGTAACACTAATGATTTGGCCATTTATACAGATATCCTTTACTACTATTTAGATAATTTATCAGTACCTTTTACTGCGTTCGTAATTTTTCCCTCCCACTTATTGATATAGAATGCACGTGTTCTGGAGGCATTACAAGCCTACCTTAAAATTGGTTCACACGCTTTAGATATTGAAACAAGCGGTGGTTATCTAGCAGCTTGTATGTCGCTTATGGTAAGTCTGTTGCAATGTGTTTATAAGCTTTTTGTCTAAAAATCACATGTTAAAAGTTAATTAACAGAAAGATGGGAAACAATGACTTGTTCCACTAAGCAGTAGAAGGTGAAGCATACATGAAACTGAAAGGATTTAAACAGATAGAAACTTGCCAACATCGATGAAACCCAGATTCAAATACTTCCGTAAACTGACTCTCAGTATGTTATCTATCTCAAATACAGCATATCGTTGCATCTTCCCACGCGGTTCAAAAGTGACACTTTTCGCTTTATTCAGCATGCAAAACTGGACATCTATACAGTTTACTGTTTACCGATCACTTCTCGTATAGTTGTTGCTATTGTCAATGTCCAGCGCCTGTCAGTTAGAATACTGTGTGTGTATGTGGATTGACGGCCTTCAAACACCTACTGTATTCTTATTTTCACTAACAAAACAAAGTGTTTAGTTTCCCACCAAACAAGATGCACTAACCACAAACCTTGGATTTTCACTGCCATGTAGAGTTAGAAGCATTTGAAAGAATTCTGCATTGTTGTTTATCGCCGTCTAATACAAGAATGTTCTTATTTGAATTCTACGTAAGGTCATCCATTGCTTTTAAGAATCGAACAGATTCTGATTTTCATTCATAACTGGAAAATATTTTGTATCTGAACACACGTCTCCTACAACTGGATATATTATGACGGCTAATGAGATCATTATAGATATTTCCCAATCAACTTTCCGATTAAAATTTACGTTTAAAGTCCATGACAAGCATTTTCCACCGATATGATGTTGTCTGTGGATTCAACTGCACTTAATGTTTGGCTATATACAATATACTTAATTGTATCAACTTTTGCATTCCATATGAAAGTAAATATGAAGGTGAAGAGTCCTTCAAGTGAAATTAATTTGCGTGAGCACTAAGGGATGTAGCGATCAAATGTTTGTATATTCCTATATTCGTAATACTTTATCAGCAATAAGATATCTATCGGCTAGATAGCACATGCGCCTTGTTGAACGCATTTCGTTATCAAATACAAATTGTTTTTGGAACCGTGATTTTGTTGAGTAAAACTGTATGGCCTGACAGAATCAGTCTATGCGATGTGTATTGCTCGGGGTGTTTTTTATTTAGAGGTGAATATGTGAGACGTTTTATTGACCAGTATTTGCAAGTTGTGAAATATAAGTATAAATGGCCGTAGAATTCCTGAGGAGACTGCTTATATCATGAAAGTACTTGATGTATTCAAGATGGGGAAGTAAAACTTCGTAAGATTAACTAATCACACTGGAGAACTGATGTTTCTCCCTTTCACAAAGTATTACAAATGTCAGTGAGCGCATGGTGACAAACGGTTGATATTTGAAATCGTTTATGCTAATATGATTGCTTATGAGATTAAATTCACACTATGTAGAGAAGGGTAATTGTTGAGCACCTACGAAGAAGGGTTCAACGAACAGACGAAACCAAGAGTTCCAGCAGATTCAGTTAGGAGGCACTTATGGAAGAAATGCTATGACTCAGATGGTGATCTATCCTTCACTAGCATTGGTGGACAACAAAACAGGTTAATGCACTTAAAGAAGTTTGATTTCTTCTTAGCTAAATTAAACGTTATCTACTCTGAATCTTCCTTCTTTTACCACTTTATGTGTTCTAAATTTGTCCACATTTTTCAGCCTGATACTTTTATTAATTTTACTATTTTAACTGTAATCTGGTTTCTATAAATTTTATACAGATTACTGCCACTAGGATATACACTACTTGTTATGATTATTCGGAAGGAAGTTGGTTAGTCATAAAATATTTTGATTTTGATTTTCTGAATGAGTAATAGATTAACTATTGGGAAGAAAATGAACTGCAGGAGAACGTTACCTCAAAATTGGTATAATTCAACTTCAACAGACATGTGAATTAGTCAATTAACCGGTGGAGACCATTTGTAGCTCACGAGTATCTACTTGATGTCAGTGTGTTCACCAAGCTAGATGGTTCCATTGAAGAGGTTTCATTCTTTACCTAGAGAGCTTCCTCAGTACTAATTTCAAGAAATTATTATAACTTCTTCACTTGTTATTTAATCTTTCATCCGTGTTGTTTACTCTTTGCTGATATTGTTATGGTTTCATCTGTCTAAGATTTGCACACTTCCCCAGATTCATAATTGTATGCAGTTGCCTGCATGTAACGGTATGATGGAATCAATGTTATGTATTTTGACTGCAAATTTATGCTCGTGAAGAGAACATTTGCCAATATGCAGTTTATCCTATAAATGATTCTGGTTCTATCGCCCTCAGAAGTTACTTTTTCTGACTGACTAAGTATGGATTAAGGTGGCTTTGCCGGCTCGTGGGCCACATCCATTCCAATAGATTTTAGTATTATGACAACGATTTCTGTAATGTTCTTTATATAGTGAGACATCTATGAACATGCTAGATTTCATGATTCTAGCAATAACCACTCTGAAATTGTAGATGTATTACATCAGTGATTCATGCATGATAATTAGCCCTCATAAACTAACCATAATCGATAAGAGAGGGGAAATGAGACAGCAAATTCCATTTTCAAAGGTCTTAACAAGGAGAGCAAGCAGAGGAAAATTGGAATGCAAGTATGTACAAAATGAACACATGCAAATCAACTGAAGAGTTCCAAACTAGGACGAAGCAACTGTCCAGTATTCCCAGGTTTTCCAGTGGTTCTCTAACTGATGTCAGCTCATGATGAAATCCTCAATCCAATAAAACAGAACAGTTGAACAATGAAGTAAAGCGTCTGTATGCAGGCATTACTAGAAGGAGCTAGGAAACACTGAGGAACTTCTCTTTTAAGGAGAACATCTTCTGAGTGTATTCCAGAAAAATGAATACTCATAGAGCATTACCAAAATGGTGTCAATCCCATGTGAATTATTATTATTGTATTATTGTTCCCTTGGGTTCCTAGTGGAACATAGGGCTTCAACTGCACGTCTCCACTTGCTTCTCTCTTCTGCTGTACTTTTCACCTCCATCCATGTTAGTCCATACTGTTTCAGCTCCTTTTCACACGATCTCCTCCATGTCACCCTTGCACTGACGTCCCACTCGCCGCTTCCCTTTCGGCTTCCACTCGAGCTATGGCCTGACGCGCGATGTCACCCAGTGGCCTCCTCAGCGAGTGTCCAATCCATCTCCACTTCTTTCTCCTGCATATTTGTTGGGCGATTGGTTCTTGTTTTGTTTGTTCCCATAGTTTCTTGTTGGTTCTTGTTCTTTCCGGCGGCCATCTGATCTTCAGTATAGAGCCAGCGAAGACAGTTGTTGTTGTGATAAAGGTGTGCAACAGGCTGTTGGAAATATTCTTTGTGACCCGCCAAGTTTCTGATCCATCCGTATAGAAGAACTGACTGACTATTGACGTTTGTATTGAAAATCCGAATCATTTTGTTGTTGATGCTGAGTTGAGTGACAGCGGAAGATTTCCAGATTGGTTTCAGGTTGATGAATGTGTTTCTCGCCTTCCCGATTCTCGATTTGACATCCTCGTCGGTTCCTGGTGTAGTTGAGACAATGCTCCCTAGATAAGTGAATGAAGTAACCTCTTTCAAATCCCTCCCGTTGATGGTGATTGGCGCTGGATGTTGCTGCTGTTGTTGTTGTTGTTGGTTGGTTATTTTCATAACCTCCGTCTTGTCTATGTTCACCTGGAGTCCTGTCTTCTCTGACTGCTTCTTCGACCAGTTTGTCGGTCGGTTTTCGCTTGTAAGTCTTCGATTTTGTGTGACATCAAACATAAATCATCCACGCGCGAAATCCAGGTCTTCTAGGTTCTTCACGTAGGTCGGTTCAGGATATCCCTGTCTTCTCGTTTCCCACTGTCTGACGCATAATCCAGTCCACCACAATTAGGAATATCATTGGTAATAATAAGCACCCTTGTCTGACTCTTGTGTTTACTCCAAACGCCTCACTGAGTTTTCCGTTGTGGATCACTTGACGTGTGCCGTTGTCGTACAGCTGTTGAATAAGGTTGATGAATATTTGGGGTACGCCGTAGTACTCGAGTAGTTTCCAAATTACTTCGCGGTCAACACTGTCGAAGGCCTTCTCAAAGTCTATAAAGTTGAGGTAGAGGTTTGATTGCCATTCCATGCTTTTTTCTGTGATGATGATGCGTAGAGTTGCAATTTGCTCAGAACATGATTTGCCTTTCCTGAATCCAGCTTGTTCTGGTCGGAGTTCTGTATCCAGTGCGTCCTTTATTCTCTCCAGGATGATGCGACTCAGGATAACGTTTATGAAATCAATGCTGGAATGTTAAAATTCTTTGAAATTTGCAGAATCCAATTGGATAGTAACTGTGCAATCCTAATTACTTTATTTTTAAATAAATGAATTGATGTTTTATATATGTTTTATATATGATTTATGCTTTTCGCAATACATTACCTAATTATTTTTAGATTTTTGCTTGTTTTCATTAGGTTAGCTCTAAGGGTACCATTGTGGCCACTAGCAGCGTAAAACAACTGACAGAACTGTCTGAGTCAAATGTTGAACGTTGGCTGAATAATAGTGGGATGCCCATCTTAGGGGGTAAAAACGCTGGTATCTTCTTTACAACTGGCGATCCTCTTACCTTAGTAAAAGTCCATAATTCATATGCCGCTATTTATCTTCGTACTATTGATCAACGCACTATTGATTATGTAAGTCTCGAGATATATTGTGCTCATCAAATCTTATGTGTCATACACTTATCCTATTAGCTTATTTACAAGGATTCCCACTTAAGCAAGTATAGTAACGATATGGTAATTATATTTTGTGTTCAATGTTTTCCATTCACTGAGATGAACTAAGCTTACTCTGTAGGCATAAGTACATCTTACATCAACCTCAATCTATTCCATGTAGTCACATTTTATCCATATATTTGGTAGTGATAAACAGCATTCGGACTATAGTTTTTATTCATGGGAACTTCAGTCTCTCTGTTGCAGATGTATTCGAGTGATGGCGTCAAAAAATTGGATGAATCACACATTCAGAAGTGTTAGCCAATACTTAATAACCTGCTGAGTGCAGATGTTCATAAAGTGACAAATACAAGACATATTCATATTTGAAATTTTAAAAAATATACATCAGTCGGAAATTCGTTTCATACCTCTTTACCAAATTTGAATCTCTTTCTCCTTATTTGACTAAACGCTTCAACATGGCTACACTGAAACTCAGTGGTATCATCTTGGAGTGAATAGAGTGGTAGAGCACGTTGACCACTTCACTTACTTGGGAAGTACCATCAGCCAACGCCAACGGGTTGATCCCTGACGAAATCTCAGCACGGATACAGAGGGCTATTTTCGCATATGCCAGTTTACGCCGTCTCTCGAGTAGATGTGATATCTGACTATCGACCGAAGGGCTCATCAGTCCACTCCGTCCTCCTTTATGGCTGTGAGACCTGGCCATTGAGAGTGGAAGACATAAAAGATTAGCTGTCTTCGATCATAGGTGTCTGCGTTCTATCTCCCGTGTGAAGTGGTATAATAAGGTGAGCAATATTGAGGTGAGGCATCGGTCGAGTGCTAGGTAAGGAGGGGAAATCAATAGACGAGGCTGTGGAGCTACATCGACTGAGATGGTTAGGACATGTGTTACGAATGCATGCCTAGTCATCGCCATCCTCGACAATGGGCAATGTTAGCTGATATAGGGTCAGGATGGAAAAGAGCTAGCACATGATGGTCAAACCAAAACATGGCTTCCCCAGTCAATGAAATCTACTACAGTTATTCTAAGCCAGCCACGTAGGAAGGTGTAGACTTCCTGACTGGTTGGGGCCCTCGGGACGGTAAAACCAATGATTGGAAACAATTGGTGACATGGCTAGCTCAAAATCATTCTCAATGATAGCGCAGATGCATCCACTCCTTGTGACTGACTTATGATTTCCAATGAAACTGTTTTGTTCTTCGTTATTACTATTCCTTTGTCTCACACCTCTGTTTACTGTCTCTCTCTAATATGCATTTCTCCTACTTTCTTCTCTTGCTTTGTGTGCTACATGGAGGGACTGTGTCGACTTGAACTGGTGCACATATGTGCAAAGTTCTATGTCGAAAGCTGACCGACCGACCGGAGTGAATAGATCTCAAATGCATACATTGAATCATTTGAATTTCACGGTTCACTTTCATGATACCTTGACAAATACTTCAGATGGGATTGTTTATTCGCATGTTTGAACGACAATAAGCAATATTGTTCATGTGCTACTTTCTATCATGATGACAATGTTACTATCTGAGATTAATTTAGGTCTGTGGAACATCACGACATCACGCGTACTTCGGAGTAGACTATTCTTGAGAAACTTAGTCGCCTTAAAGTCGTGATATTTGATGATATTCTGGTTTGTGCTGTATGAACACATAAACTAATATAGCGGTTTATTTTATGTCATAAAAGAAATTCTGTATTAGATAGAGATCTGCAATAATACTGGGAAACACTTTCTATGCCACACTGGTGATCTGTTTACTTTTCGCACAAGAAATAGTAAACTTAAATACAATACTGGATTTCAGACAAATGTTATAATTTAATAATTCCCATTGTAGCATTAAAAACACAATATTCAGCGAAGAGACTCTTTTCAACGAATTTATTATCAAGCTGTACAATCGTATATTTATGGGTTTTTTTAAAGAAATTATATCCGGTGAGGGAATTAGGTCAAAGGTGTGAATACATGAAATAATAATAGTATGAAATGCAATTAAAATATTTGTGATTATAATCATAGTTTAATGTCAAGTGCCAAAATAATTAATGTCGTATATAGAATAACACATAAAGTGTATAGATTTTGGAAAGGGGTACATAATTATAAGATTAGTGGACGAATACAAAATGTTACATAACATGGTGTGTAGTTTGATAAGATACAATTCAATATTGTAAAAATAGAAATATAAAAATTAATAATTTTGGGTTTAAAATGTCAAGTGGGTTAAGTGGAAAAGATTCAGAGTGAGAATAGTAATAATAATAATAGTAATGAGGGAAAAGTACATAGAATAATTAATAAACAAAATAAATAAATGTCTATCCCCCTACGGCCAAGGCAGAAGTAGGGATTGTACATACTTCTTTTGTACACAAAGGTCTGGCTTAAAGTCATGAATTGCCAAGGCCTCAGCTGTCTTTAGAAGTCTGTAACGAAGAAAAAGCGGGAAGTTAGCATGGATTCTATATATGATCTTAAAATCATGGTCAGGGTTGACAGAGTGACAGAAGTCGATCAGGTGTTCCAAAATAGAGCTTCGCAGAAATATTTTAATTGCATTTCATACTATTATTATTTCATGTATTCACACCTTTGACCTAATTCCCTCAGCGGATATAATTTCTTAAAAAAACCCATATATATACGATTGTACAGCTTGATAATAAATTCGTTGAAAAGAGTTTCTTCGCTGAATATTGTGTTCTAAATGTTATAATGTTGTTTTGTTTGGTAAGTGGAGGTTGGTGGTAAAATAAATGGAATTGGCCCAGAGAAGGTGAATAGAAAGCAATTCATGTGTGAGTTTCATTCTTTCCCATGATATACACCACACTTAACATTGAATAAATTGTCTTCGATTAGTAGGTATTGTATCGAATGGAAGGTGGAGGAGAAGGGGGAGGTTTTTATGTTGAACTGCTTTTTTGTTTAACCACGTCAACCAATATCTGTCTGACACACAAACCCACACACCGTGACCACCACCTCAAATGGTCTCGAGAAAAGTCATCACTATGATCTGTTCTTAATTTGAATATCATTAGGCATACCTTCCTTCAGTGCTTGAAGAATGAATATATTTCTAGGATATAAAGAATTCCATTTTTCAATTCAGGACGAGTTTTCAAATGCTAACAGCCTGAAAATGACATGAGTTAATATAAATGAGGAAACGGGCATAAAATGGACTCACACAAAAAAGTACTTGGAGGATCTAGATTTCGCCGATGATATATGTCTGATTTCCCAAAAACTGGAAGATATGCAAGCGAAAAGCAACAAGTTGACGATAGAAAAAGCATCAAAAATAGGAAGGACTTCAGGTGAACATAGCGAAAACAGAGGTGATGAAGATTCCTGGCCAACGCCACCAACAGCAACAACAACAACAGACAACAATCAGCCAGCATAAATGGGAGGAACCTGAAAGAAACAAACTCCTTTATCTACCTGGGAATCATCGTTTCAACTACAGGCCCGTGGAACTGACGAGGATATCAAAGCAAGAATCGATCAGAAAAGCAACACAAGCTTTCACTACTCTCAAGTCTGTGTGGAGGTCAACAGCCAGCACTCAGCATCAAAACGAAGATAAGATCCGGATTTTCAACTCCAATGTGAAGTCAGTCAGTCCTACTTACTATACGGATCAGAGACTTGCACTGTGCGTCATAAAGAGCATCTCAAACAAACTACAGACCTTCATTAACAGCTAGCTGTCTTCGCTCAATACTACTCAAGATCAGATGGCCGGCCGGCCAGAAAAGATCACCAACAGAGAGGGATCTCTGGCAATGAGCGAACCAACCGACACAGCAGGAACCAACCGATTGTGAAAGAAATAGGCAGGAAGAAATGGAGGTAGGTTGATTGGCTGGCCATACTCTGAGGAAACAAGCCATCAAGTGAGTGACATCACTAGACAAGCCATTGCTCGAGTGGAACCCGGCCGAAAGGGAAGCGGCGGCGAGTTGGTCGTCAGTGCGAGGGTGGGGTGACTTGGAGGAGGTCATGTGAAGAGGAGATGAAAGGGTGTGAGCAGACTTGTAGCCAGGTGAAGACTGTAGCAGAGAACCGAACGCAATGGAGACGCATGGCTGAAGCCCTATGTTCCTCTAGGAATTAAAGGAAACAATAATAAATAATAATATAAATGTGTATATATAATGTATTTGAAAAACAATTATTTCAACTCAAAGGCTAATTAATAATTTGTTTCATAAAAATGAAACAAGGGTGTGTGCATAGAAAGTAATTATTAACTAAGCTATTGGAAAATTCCAGAGTAGACGATTGGAATTTGTTACTCTACATCATCCCTCAAACTTTTGTGCATCGTATTGAAATCTTATCTATTGAGTCCTTCATCTTTTAAAAATTCCACTTAATATTAATTCCTAACTATCGATTTTTACCTGGTATTTTGATTTAAAATATCATAATATACAGTAATGTAAATAAATATATGTGATAATCTGCATTGTCACAACAATTTCTGTGATTATTTTATTTTACTCATGATGCATGCATGTACAATCAAATGAATGTGCTATTTTTTAGTCTTATCTACTTTTCACTCTGCTTTTTTAGTACAAACCATTGTTAAGTGTGGGTGGACGTATGGCTGCTACGCATACATACGCAGATGGGAAAATAAAGCTAGTGGCGGTAGATCGTCAGGAAACAGGTTTATTCAAGCAAACCGTATTGGTGGACGAAAAGCATCCTGATAAAGTAATAACGCCATTTCCACCTTCAATACCAAGCGACCTCGAACCTGGGTAAGATTTGCCCTAATTTTGGTTCATATTTTCTTCTGTGTTTTGAAATAATGCAAGATGTTTATTGCTGTTATTATTGGTAGTATGTTAGGCTGTTTCAGTTTAATTTAATTGACAATGTCAAATAAGATGAATCATATCCAGGTGTGGAGGTTATGAAAATAACCAACCAACAACAACAACAGCAACATCCAGCGCCAATCACCATCAACGGGAGGGATTTGAAGGAGGTTACTTCATTCACTTATCTAGAGAGGGAGCATTGTCTCAACTACAGGAGAAATGGACGGACGAGGATGTCAAATCGAGAATCGGGAAGGCGAGAAACACATTCATCAACCTGAAATCAATCTGGAAATCTTCGTCACTCACCATCAACAACAAAATTCGGATTTTCAATACAAACGTGAAGTCAATTTTGCTTTACGGATCAGAAACTTGGCGGCGGATCACCAAGAATATTTTCAACAGCCTGTTGCAGACCTTTATCAACAGCTGTCTTCGCTCCATACTGAAGATTAGATGGCCGGAAAGAATCACAAACAAGAAGCTATGGGAAGAAACAAAACAGGAACCAATCGCCCAACAAATATGCAGGAGAAAGTGGAGATGGATTGGACACTCGCTGAGGAGGCCACTGGGTGACATCGCGCGTCAGGCCATAGCTCGAGTGTAACCCGAAAGAGAAGCGGCGAGTGGGACGTCAGTGCAAGGGTGACATGGAGGAGATCGTGTGAAAAGGAGCTGAAACAGTATGGACTAACATGGATGCAAGTGAAAAGTACAGCAGAAGACAGAAGCAAGTGGAGACGTGCAGTTGAAGCCCTATGTTCCACTAGGAACCCAAGGGAACAATAATACAATATATAATATATATCCAGGTGTAGGAATAGCACTGCAACAATTAGATTTCATCTTAATTAATTTCATCTTTATCGACTGGGCATCAATTTTCGTATTCGCCAGTTTTCATTTCAGTTTATACGAGGACACATCAATATAATCCCTATGAATATTTTTAATTTTCATCATCTCCCTCAAGAACATCTCGCAATTTGACAAGAACAAAGTCTTTCAACTTGGTTCGATTTTTCACAGATTGTAAAAAATAATTTCAAATGCGCCAATTTGCAGAGATTTAGCCGATTTCAAGTTAGCTCAAAACCTGACATCGTTTACAGAATCACACTGAAAACCAAAAGGTAATAGACAGCTCCCATATTCCTGTACACAGTAGGTATGATCTCACTGGGCATAGAACATGACACCTTCAAATTAGGTGGTGAGTTCGTGAATCACTGTGAATTGTCAGAATTTAGAATTCATGGGTCATTGGTCTTCTTATGTAATGCTTGAATAAATGCCAGTTTCTTAAAACAACGGATATTTAACGAAAAATTTTCATTTCTGCAGTTCCTGTCTCAACGAGTTTTGTTTGTTTGTTTTTTTGTGCAAGAACATGTTGACAATTTCATTGTTGTTAATATTATTTGTTTTCAGCTTATTTGATCCCGACTACATTGGATACACGTCAATACAAGTTAGACATATTCCAGATAAAAGCGTCTCACTTTTACTCTGCATTACCATCATTCTACTCATGTCATTCTTTTGACCGTAGAGTATATATACACCACTTTTGTGACTCCGCTCATTATAATAATATTATCACTGTTTTAACAATGTAGACCGTTCGTTACACTTTAAACGACTGAACACACACCATTCCATATTACCGAATTACTTTCCATTTGAAACAGATTATATATATACTACTGGGTTTGTTTCTGCTACATTGACTCGAAGTTTCGCTAACACATTCAATAATTTATTTAGGTTAACCACTCACTGTTTTCGCTCATCTGAAATTCATTCATTACTGTTTGAAAAACATGATGATTTCTGCCTTAGAGTGATTTCAGTTTTCGAGTGCTTTCATCACTAGAATCTAACTAACCAATCAATAATTTTTGTTATGGTATGGTAAATATGCGCATGAGAAATGTGTTTGCAGCATTAATGAAAAGTGTGTGTGTGATATCTGTCATGTAACTCTGATTATCCCTTTTCAGTTTATTTGTGCTGTGTATGAGTTTGTGCAGGTGCTGGTGTGGTTTTTAAAAATGACTTCATGCAGGAAGGAAGGAAGGAAAGAACAGATCCACATTTCTGTACTCAATATTCTTTAGTATCTTGAGTCGTTTTTTTTATTTACAGCATTCGTCTTTTTCAGTTCTGTTTCTTCTTCTAACGTGTAGCACACTAGACGTCTAGACAACTTTGAATAGAATTATTGGGTAACAGGTTGGAGGCTTGCATTGCAAGAGATTCGCTTTGAATTTACAAAAGAAGCAGTTGGATAGCAGTACACACTCACAACTAGAGTAAAGGATGGAAGGGTGATTTCAAAGAATTGGCTTTTCAGCCAGTTTATCAATGGATCTGAGTTTTATTTCATAATTTAATAAGATTGACAGAGTATATTTGATGGTGTTTAGCCTTCTTTATACACATTATTTGTGATGTGAAATCCGGTGCATCACACTGGACTAATTTCCTGGGTCTGTCTGTCTGTTTTCGACATAGAACTTTGCACATATGTGCGGCAGTTCAAGTCGCCACACTCCACCCCTTGTAGCACACAAAGCAAGAGAAGAAAGTAGGAGAAATGCATAATATAGACAGTAAACAGAGGTGTGAGATAAAGGAATAGTAATAACGAAGAACAAAATAGTTTCATTGGAAATCATAAGTGACAAGAAGTGGATGCATCTACACCACTCATTGAGAACGATTTTGAGCCATGTCACCAATTGTTTCCAACCATTGCTTTTTATCGTCCCGAAGACCCCAACCAGTCAGGAGGTCTACACCTTCCTACGTGGCTGGCTTAGACTAACTGTTGTAGATTTCATTGACTCATGCCATGTTTTCGTTTGACCGCCGCTTGCTAGTTCTTTTCTAGCCTGACCCTATATCAGCTAACACTGCCCGTTGTCGAGGAAGCGGATGGCTAGTGGGTGCATACGTAACACATGTCCTAACCATCTCAGTCGATGTAATTTCACAGCCTTGTCGATTGATTTCCCCTCCTTACCTAGCACTCGACCGATGCCTCACTTCAATATTGCTCACCTTATTATACCACTTCACACAGGGAGATAGAACGGAGACACCTATGATCAAAGACAGCTAATCTTTTCATGTATTCCACTGTCAATGGCCAGGTCTCACTTACAGCCATAAAGGAGGACGGAGCGGACTGATGAGCAGTGCACACACCCTTTGATCGATAGTCGGATATCACGTGTACTAAGCCAGAGACGGCGTAAACTGGCATATGCGAAACTAGCCCTCTGTATTCGTACTGAGATTTCGTCAGAGATCAACCCGTTGGCACTGGCTGATGGTACTGGGTATTTCATTCAATCACTTTGCTTAGTGAACTAACGAACAAGCTGTTTCTCACTTAAGTGTTAAAATGTTGGTCAGATTATACGTCAAACTCTTGTGTGCAATGCGTGTTAATATGGAGTGACTCAACTGACAGTTCCATTTATAACTATGTTCATTTTAGCTATCATTATCAAATCGCATCTGAATCTAGAAGAGTATCATAAAAAGAGAACATTAGCGATGATAAGTGATCATGGTTTTAAGGGACTTTTTTGTTAGGATCAAAATCGCATCCAGTCAGAAAAAACTTCAAATGTGAAATACAGATTTTGGATGGTCTATTGATTATAATCTTCTTTTTAAATGCATTTTAATCAATTTGTGCTTATACACATGTTTACCGAATATGTTAACACGTTATCTTGGTAGGCTTACACACCATTTTATAGGCGCTTGAAATATACCCTGGAGAAACATTTAAACCAAAGAGCAGGATGTTACATTAAAATAATCTAAGGCGCGCTATTATTGTAGTTACGAATTAGACTCTTCATTCAGTGATATTAAACGTGAAAAATTCAAGATTGGAACAGATTTTTAATTATCATTATCATGGATTGCATAGGTCTCATGATTCTTCTCTATAGACAGCACATTTATTTATGTAATCTTGGATTACGGATAATTTTTTGAAGTCACTAAGAATTCTCAGTGTGGCTTTGTCTTTTCTTTAGAGCTGTTACTAAAGGAAGTACGGGTCACAGTGCTCGTGCGTGTGTATATCTGCCTCTAGACTGGCCGACTTAACAGAGTAAAACATTGTTGGTAATAGATGGTTGGAGTCAATCAGCAGGAAGCCTTGGACCTAGGTTTCGTGCTAGTTGGCACTCATCAGCAAGGCGTACCTGCAACCTTGAAGAAACTCATGTCCTTTCTAAGATTCGAACCCGCGTCACCCAGTGCTGCAGTCAGAGACGTTACCACTGAGCTATTCAGGCTCGTGATTGACCTCCTGTAGGACTGACTGCATTGGATATTTTTGATTGCACACTAGTCAGTAACTAGTGTAATACGTCTAGTCCTATCTTCGCTGCAAACATTACTCGTTAAAGGATTGCTTCAAGTTAGCATACACAGCAGCAGAGAAAATAAGTGTTATCAAACAGCAATGCATAAAAATAAACTAGAATCACACTGTTCTGCTCTCATATCTTCCTCGTTTCAGAGACTAAGTTTTTCAGCCACCAAGTCAGATGGCACATAATTATTATTGTTTCCTTTAATTCCTAGAGGAACATAGGGCTTCAGCCTTGCGTCTCCATTGCCTTCAGTTCTCTGCTACAGTCTTCACCTGACTCACAGTCTGCCCACACGTTTTTATCTTCTCTTCACATGACCTCCTCCATGTCACCCCACCCTCACACTGACGATCAACTCGCCGCTTCCCATTCTATTAGGGTTCCGTTCGACCAATGGCTTGTCTAGTGATGTCACTCACTTGATGGTTTGTTTCCTCAGAGTATGGCCAGCCAATCCATCCATCTCCATTTCTTCCTGCCTATTTGTTTCACAATCGGTTCCTGCTGTGTTGGTTCGCTCATTGGCAGATTTCCCTCTCTGTTGCTGATGTTTTCTGGTCGGTCATCTGATCTTGAGTAGTATTGAGCGAAGACAGCTAGCTGTTAATGAAGGTGTGTAGTTTGTTTGAGATGCTCTTTATGACACGCAGTGCAAGTCTCTGATCCGTATAGTAGCACCGGCACATAATATACACGTGTTTTGATGGTTAACCAGAAATTACTCTCCGTCCAGTGGTGACGCCGGCTGACAAATACAAATCTAGCCTTCTGTACTCCAGATGACTGACTAAGTTTTGAGAACAGAAATTTTGCATAAAAGTGCACCAGCCCAACTTGACACACTCCATGTAGCAAGCACAGAAAGGTAGTGAAAAGATGGAAAAAAAAGATATTCAAACGACTTATAATGAGTAGAAATATGCGCCAGACTGAAGAGAAGCATAGGAAATTTGAAAGAGTGAATGCATCTGCGTCACTAAGAACAATTTTAAGCCATATCACCAGTAAGTAGTCTGCAGACACTAGTTTATAGCAAAATGAGGACCTCATCCTAGAGGTCAACACTCCCCAGAAAATAGTCCCAACCAACTGTCAAAGACTTCACAGACTGATGCCAAGTTTCAGTTCGACAATCCGAAACCCTTTTCTAAAGCTAATCCTATATCAGCCAACAATGTTTGTCGAGGAGGGCGATAGCTTTGCATATACAACACATGGCCTAGCCATTTCAATCGGTGTAGCGTCACAATTTCATTGATTGTATCACCCCCACTTACTTAGCACCATACGCCTAACCCCTAAATTAGCCACCATATTATGCCACTTAAAACGGGAGATAGACCGCAAACACCTATGATTGAATATAACTAGCTAGCCCTTTCATATCTTCCACTTTCCGTGGCCATGTCTCACAGCCGCAAGGGAGGATACAGCGAAGTGCTGCGCAGCACACACACGTACTTTGATCGATAGCTGGATGTCATTTCTACGCCTGAGATGATGTGAGTTGGCAAGTGTCACTCCAGCCTTTTGTATCCCTGTTGATATCTCGTTAGTGACCAGTCCATTAGGGATGGTGCAACTTCCCAAATAAAGTGAAGTGGTCAACACGCCCCTACCACTTCACTCGCAATCGTTAAGCCTGGAGTAGACTCAGTGTAGTCCCACAGCATCATCTTTCACTGGGCAAGAGCGAATCTCGAGCCTATCATTCGAAGATTTCTGCCCAAGGTGTTCATAAGACTGTATGTTTTAGCATCTTCACCTACGAGAATATCATTTGCATACTCTAAGTCCACAAGACTATTGCCTGGCGAAAAGTCAATCCCTAAGACACTGAATTCGATTAGGGTACATCTATCGTGAAACTAAACAAAAATGCAGGTATTGGGCCTCCCCAATGGGCACCACAGGTTTGCATGACCACTTTGCATCAGATGGCAACTCTTCAACGTCTCTTACACGACTGAGTGGGTTCGACTAGAGTACCTTGATTAGTGCGATATACTTTCTAGACACTCGCTTCATGGCCAAACATTGTCATAGTACCTCTCCGTTGACGGGTTGAATTCCGCCTTCAGGTCAAGAAAAATGACAAGTGTTAAGCGGTGGTAAGTATGCCTATTTTCCAGAATTGGTCAAAGAGTGAAGATATGATCATTACA